TCCAACCTAACTAAACAACAAATCGATTGAAATCCCCAATTTTTGAAACCCTAATTTGAAACCAAAATTTCCAGAAATCGTTGAAAATACAAAACAAAACGGTAAAAGTAAAGGAAAACAACATCCATCCTAATAAAAACCCATAAATCCGCAAGAGAAGCCTTCGATTTACCTTGGTCTTGTATCAGATCGAAATCGCCTCGAAATCACCTTTGAGAGAAACGGCGTTACGGTTTTCTGAATTTCGCGAAAACTGAGTAAAAAAAAAAAACTTCTTATATATGTCCAGTAAAAAATCAGGTTCGGTTTAAAAGTAATTCGGTAAAATCCGGTTTGGACGACTTATAATTAAGTCGTCTGTTGATACTATAAGACGACTAAGTCGTCTGCCTTATTAAATATATTTACCAGACGACTTAATTATAAGTCGTCCAGACCCTAAAACCTAAACTAAGTTGACTAAATTAACTAACCACTATATATAGAAATAAACACATTTAAGAATAACTATACCAGACGACTTTCAACTAAGTCGTCTGGACGACTTAGTTGAAAGTCGTCGGAATAGAATACTTACGAGGTTAGACGACTAATAATTAAGTCGTCTGACAAATCTTCTGGCTGATGACTTTCCAGACGACTTAAATATCAGTCGTCTACTAAGTCGCCCAGGCTTTTCGAGTATGTTTTAAGAATTTGTGTTAGAATTTGTGTTAGACTTCTTAGACGACTAATAATTAAAATTGGTTTGTACATAGAGGACAAAAGGAGTTGTAGTTATAAAAGTTGANCCTTCTTGTATAACTTCCCAAGTTTGGTGTGAAGCGTCCGATCGTAGTGTCCATTTTCCTTGGTTCCCTTCTATGTGTTTTGAGTAGAAGGCAAGTGGTATTGTCTACAAGTCAACAAAGGAGAAGTTAAGCAAAGGAAATAAGCAGAGGAGAAATAGAGAGCGTGTGTATACCACGCCACTGCAGAAACCAGGAAGCAAAGGCTTCAAGAAGTGAGGTTCATGCTGATTCGCCATCTGCAAACAAGAAACGAAATTGGAACATTTTAATTCTAAGTCTAGAAGACTTATATTAAGTCGTCTGGGTCGTCCACCTGGAAGACTTCCCAGACGACTTATATTAAGTCGTCTGGGTCGTCCACCTGGAAGACTTCCCAGACGACTTATATTAAGTCTTCTGGGTCGTCCACCTGGAAGACTTTCCAGACGACTTTACCAAGACTATCATAGAACATTTGAAAGCTGACCAGACGAATGAGACGAGAACAACATCCAACCTAACTAAACCACAAATCGATTGAAATCCCCAATCTTTGAAACCCTAATTTGAGAATGAAAATATCCACAAATTGCTTGAAATCACAAATCGTAACCGTGAAATGAGAGGAAAACAACATCCAACCTAACTAAATAACAAATCGATTGAAATCCCCAATTTTTGAAACCCTAATTTGAAACCAAAATTTCCAGAAATCGTTGAAAACACAAAACAAAACGGTAAAAGTAAAGGAAAACAACATCCATCCTAATAAAAACCCATAAATCCGCAAGAGAAGCCTTCGATTTACCTTGGTCTTGTATCGGATCGAAATCGCCTCGAAATCACCTTTG